TGATATCAGTATATATCTTAACCATAGAATCTGATATATAAGCATATATATCAATCTATCCATATCAGTTGATATGATAGATATAGATATCATGAGTGGTTATCCAAATAAGTTTTGAATTCAAATTCAAACTTACTTGGATAAGGTTCAAAAGGGTTCAAAGGGTCATGCCACATGGGCGCCCAATTTCTGACATCTCCCACTCGCACATGAGTTGGCATGACACTGCCACATCTCTATCTCAATCTCCTCAAAAATGAACAATCTCATACTAGCCAATGCACCGTGCGACCGCTGAGAAACACCTACATGTGGGAGCTCTATACTAGAAACTTAAAATGAGCCAGCATAGAGACATCAACCCAAAAAGAATAGAAATAGTGTCTCATATACCCCAGACCCATCTAATTACACCGGTCCAAAAAACATCTCTAATCCCTCAAAAGAGCATATTTGACCCTCTCAATTCTTGCAATATATTCACATTCAATCTGCCTCAAACAAAGCGATGTGAGTTGCCGGCAATGAATATACAATAGTGGTGTAATACTAGATGATCTTCCATTTGCCCTCTTGCCATTTAGTTTAGGTTTGACCGCTTTCCCAGTGATGTCCCTTAAGGCCGAATCATACATGACCGCAGGCAACATACCAAAGTAGCAGAACGTTAACCCCTTACCTTATGACATAGTCAAAAGTCACAAAAGGCTACATAAATAAAAGTCATATCAATAATGACACGTAAGACTCACACGGTAAGGAAATAGGGATTCATTCTCTCACCTCATTACTCGGTCGCCAAGCACATGTAGTATGAATACATGTTACGGTGGAGTAACTCTTCTAAAAGAGTGACGTCATACTCGATACACCGTACAGATCTTAGTCTAGTCGCTTTCTAGCGCCTAACCCGAATTCTCTATTTGCTCGCCTTCCAAGAGCCAAATGAGATCTCGCATCTGGCTAATCATAACAGGCACAACATGGAAAGTGGGTACTAACATCCATGTTTGGTCCTTAACACGACCTCATCTTGGTTGTAACCACGGCAACATGCATAGTGGAAGGCATAATCCATCATCAATTTACCCCATAGATACCCTATTGCACAAAACCCACATATATATATATATATATATAAATATTTCAATAGTGCTATTCATCACATGATTCACATTTATTGAGATCAAAATATAAATATATAAGGGTAAAGATATTCCTAAAAGTTGTGGAAGAATGGATGAAGACCCAAAGATGAATCTCTACGATACCAAGATCCAATCGGTCCAAAATGTAGCTCTTGATGAGATGAACAACTTCGATGAGGAAGCAAGGATGGATTCTTGCTAAAAATAAATGAGATCTAGTGTTTAGGAGTTAAGGTTTTCGAAAATAGGGTTTAGATAGAGGAGAGTGAAAAAGCGAAGTCAAAAAGTGTTTAGATCGAAATTTAAGACTCTTTAGTTGCACATGTCTTCGTAGCCTTCGCCTTCTCTCTCTAAAACCAAGAACAACCATAATAATGAATAGGGTTTTATATTTATAGACATTAGCACCCTTCTAAGTAATATCCAAGAGGTTAGTTCCAAAATGAAAGGAAAATTTGGATGTAATTATTCCTAACTTTTTAGGTGGCCTGTTTCGACCAATTATAAGTCAGAATTTGAAAATTCCTATTTGACACAAAATCTTAGCCCTCTAAGTATCTTTCCAATGTTGCTTGAATCATTTCAATCCGATATCGGACGAAAGAGATACATCCAAAATATTGAAGCCTGTGCATAGTGACTTCTATAGCAGGATTGTAACAATTTTAACTTTTCTTTCTTCAAATCTCATAAGTTGGGTTTTTATTGCTTGATTCAATTATTTACATCTTTCGAGCCTTTAAACTTGGGTTGAGTCTTGTCTCTCGGGCTTCAAATACTTCAAATTAAGGTTAATTTCTTTTCACAAGCCCGAATAACCTACACATATACAAACTAATTGTAAAGTAACAATAATTCAAGGAATAACAATTGTATTTTAGGAGGCCTAAATGTGTACATTTCGGCATCTATTATTTTCTATCTAGTAATATGAAAAATCAATTGGACTAACTCAACTAATCACTCTTGTACACTTTCATCTAGAAGATTAAAGAGTCAATTCTTACTAAATGCAAATATTAATCAGTGTGTTTGGTTTCAGTTTTCTAAATTTAATTTTTTGAAAATTGAGTTTTAAATTTTTTGTGTTTTTTGTTTTTAGTGAATAATTTTAAAATTTTAAGCAACTTTTTTACTTTTTAAGATGCACCTTACTTAGATCTATCTAAATAGTGAAATATTTGTGAAAAAATATTTTTTAAAATTAATAAATACAAAAAATGTATTTGAATTTTCATATTTTTTTGTATTTTTAGTATTTAGTGAATTTTTAAAAAACAAATCACAAATATTATACTTTTTAAGTGTATTCATATTAGGTGTGTCTAAAAAATTTTATAAAAAAATTGCTTAAAATATTTTAAAAAATCATTGACAACAAAAAAAAATACAAAAAATAAAAAAAATAAAATTTTTTAAAAAATATTTTCTGAAAACCAAAGTCAAAAAAAATAACATTATGGGGCTTTGTTGTATTATTTTTTTCCTTCCCATTATATGTAGCTCTTTTTTAAGTTGATTGTTGGGCTAGTGGGCTGATAGTTTCCTCAAGGTTGATTGTTGGGCATATGTATATCTGTTGGACTATTATTTTCAAGAAGAAGCTTACATTGAGCAACCTTTTAGGGGTACATATCATATGCACCCTACATAAATTGACATAATTTTACTACAAATTTCATAATATTAATTACAAAATTCATAACCTCAACACAAATAGCGTAACAAAATGTCCAAAATTTTATAGTTGATGTTATAATAGTTTTTGACTTGGTTACGACCTTCTTTATTACTCTAATTTATAACGAAATTAAGCATTTTGTGATTGACGTTACGAAATTTTGTGTTAAAATTACGTTAATTTATGATAGGGTGCATATATCATATGCTTTTCCTTTCTAAGGCTCCGTTTGGAAACTCTCTCATTTAGCTAAAAAGTTAAAAAGTTACTAAAAAAGTCAAAAAGCCAACAACCCATACTAAAAAGTCAAAGATTCTCTTTTCTCTCTACTTTTTACATATCTTTTTATAAAAAGTCAAAAAGTCATCTCAAACATATTAATTTTTTTTAACTCATATTTTAGTCAAATAGTCAAAAAA